CAATAACTAACACACAAATAGAAATGATCATGCATGCAGGGTGATACCATATAATAGGGTGACATTTTATAATTTCAAAATATCATAAGTAAGGTATCCTTTTTCTCAAAAACTATTTAAATGGTTTTAAGAAAACCTTCAGCCATTAAAAATTATCCCTTAACCTTTGATAACCATAAATCCTTGTGAAACAAACATAATTGAGAAACAACATCATTTAAAATTAACCAATTCCCAAAATATTTCTCATTTAATTTTGATTTTTAATATGCCTCTTTTTCTTTCATTCTTCTTTTCTACTCAGTATATTTATTTAGAACTCCATAACTTTAACTTCAAGTTCCCTTTTTGACTCACTAACAATTCTCCTATACTCAATTCATTATGCTTACCATCAACAATCCATAATCCGCTTACCCATTCTTAGGTTCCATTCCTTACAAATAATGTCTATGTGCATTTCCTCTTTATACCAAATTACACATCAATTTGTAATTTCACAGATTCATCACAAGTCACAAATAACATCATTAACTCAAAACACTTCTCAACACACATCTCAACACAAACCACCTTTTGCCAACTTACTACGACGGGATAGCGGGCACCCAATCCATAACACTTTCCACCTTTTGCCGGCCTATTATACGGCGGGAAGTGAACTTCTAAAAACCATTTTCTCAACAGCCATTTTCTTCCAACAATCATATTTCTTCAAAAAAAACTATTTTTCAACTTTTAAAAACCATCCCTCACATTTACCGGCTACTATACGGCGGGACGTGGGCACCCAAAACATTTTTGAAAACCATTCGTTTTTCCACTTTTGCCGGCTATTATACGGCAGGACTGTGTGGACACCCAAAAATCATTTTTCCTACATTAGTCCAGCGATAAGCCTAGATAGGGCAATTAGGTACCTTTAATTCAAAACTACCCACACATTTTCCAGCTACTATACGGCGGGACGTGGGTCCCTAAAAACCTTTTCCAACTTCCCACGCGGGTACTAACACAACACCACCAAACACAACTCAACTCAAACTCAACACAACTCAACTCAACTCAACACAACTCAACATGATTCAATACAATTCAACATAGTTCAACACAATTCAACATAATCAACACAATTCAACATGATTCAACACAATTCACTTCAACACACTAAATGTAATTCAACATAATTCAAAGTGAACTCTTAAATCTCCATTTCATCATTTCATCCCAAAGCTCATGTCATGCATATCATTAACAAATCTTTTTCCTCAAATTTCATTTCATATTATAACATGATTTACAATATTCATAATAAAGGTTCATTCGCTAATTTTTAACATAATTTTCAAACACTTTCAAAATTCAATTAAACTTGTATATATATAATTCAACCTCTCAATTTCATGATTCTGCTTTCAATTTAGGCAAAATCATTAATTATCATCATGAGTTAACTTAGGGTTTCCAAGAAAAATCAAGACTTCAAAGAAAAATTAAAACTTCTCACACCACTACTTTTTGTTTTAATTTTCCCATTGATTATACTCCTAAGGTCCATAATCCACAATCTTAACCCAACAATTGAACCCCAACACTTCAAACCCCAAACCGCCAAATCTCATGATGTAACACTCTAGGCTCAAAATGTAGATTTTGTATTTATATAATCAAAATACCACAAATCTATCTATTAATGCAAGTATTGAAGAAGAATTAGGACCCCTACCTCAAGAATCAAGCAAAAGAGCAAAGCTTTGATGAGATTCCTTCACAAATCCAAACTTCAATCTGTTGGAAAGTGAGATCTTGAAGCCTTCTTCACTTTTGAGTAAGAGATCTTGGCCAAATCTTTAACAAATTGGAGGTATTTGGGCCAAAATCTCTAGGGTTTCGGGTTAAGGGTGAGAGGGATGAAGAGAGAGGATGAAGGTGTGAAGAATGATCTAGAAAAGTGCTTTTAATCTTGCTGAATTCGCGCAGTCCGCTCGAGTGTCTCTTTCCACGCTCGAGCGTACATGCTTCCAGCACAGATACTGAAACTTCAAACGGGTATAACTCTCTCATCCGGACTCCGTTTTAGGTCGTTCTTGTGTCCAAATCGAAGCCCCAGAAACAAGATTTCCAATGGTTTTAGCCTCACATCCAAATTCAAAGTGTGGAAAAAGAAAAGGGCAAAAGAGTGACGGTTGTTCGTAAGAAAATTATTCGAATTAAAGTTTTCGGTCCAATCTTACTTTACCATCATGTGACCATTTCAATCAATACCCCAAAATAAAATAGGGTGGCTCCAAACACAAAATAAAAGGTCAAAAACAATCCCACTGGTCTCAGAAATTCAAACTCAACCAGGCAGACCGCTCGAGCGTCCAATCTTGCACTCGAGCGTGCAGACCAACAAAGTTGTCCGCTTGAGCGACCACTCCTACGCTCGAGCGAGAATTCATAACTCTGAGAATCTCAGACAGACTACAAAAATACTGGAAGCCTCACAAGTCCGATCGAGCGTCAACTCCCCTGCTCAAGCGAAGGGAAAAATTCTGAATCGTTACAATCTTCTCTCCTTAAGAAATTTCGTCCTTGAAATTGCATCCGTTCTAACAAAATAGCAACAACCTTATACTCACCAATTCTTAACAACCCCCTAGTCCAAAAATAAAGCATGAGAGCACCCATATATATCCACTAAACCTTAACAACTTTTGATTACACCTTACCTCCATTCTAAACCCAAAAGTACGAAGTGTCACAATCTCCCTTCCTCAAGAAATTTCGTCCTCGAAATGAAGAAAGCCAAACAAAAGGAAACTCAAACATGAATGGAAACACGCCCTTTAATGTTCAAAACTAGATCTACACTCGGGATAAATTCTCAATTTCTGATTTGATACCTCAGTGTTCCAAAGATACCCAAACAAGAAAAATTACAAGGAAGAGATCACTATTACCTTTCAATTAACACACACTTCAAAATCCAATGGGCAAGGAGCAACGCTAATCACTTGTAATCCAAAAGTCCATAATAACTCGCCAACTAACAACTAAGCGGACAATGTCTATCGAACGACCAAAACTCAATTTTAAGGAAAAAAAATCACCCTTAAACTAACACGAAGTCAACACAAGAAAAACAAATAACACTTTGCATTGTATGATCCAATACCAGAATTTTCAATTGCATTTCAATTAACAGCATTATCTATTTCTTATTCCCCCTTAGCACGTAAAAGTAGAATAGAGAAAATCATTCATTAGCATATTTCAGTCTTTAACATTTAATTTTATCGTGCCATCCTAAGCCACATACAAGGAAAATAGATTTTTGTTTTCCACATTGATCTCAACATTTTCCCGATGAATTCCAATCATCACCAAATAACCTCCGCCACCCATCCGGTGACATCGCAACATAATTTCCATACATACTTGTGTTAATAACAAACAAAAACAACTACAATGCATCAAAAGGGTAACATTGCATATACGACTTCCCACAAGTGGGAAGTCTCCCTGTCATTACAAATGTCAACACTTATATCAACATTCAAAATATAAATATATATATATACATTGGCACAAGTGCACTTACAATAATTTCCATTCAAACATTTTTAACTCAATTAGAGCGGTTTCACAAATTTACATGAACAACACACACATATATGCACAAGTAAGACTCCACGCCCGCTAGTACCCCTTGAAACACTATTCATTCATATCCATATTTATCTAAAACAAGGCAAATCCCAAGATAGTTAAGCATTAATTAACTTCAAGTAGCATTCATCGAAATCACTAGTTACCAGTCACATCAAAACAAATTAACCCAAACCAATCCTCAAATCTCACCAAGAAGGAAATGACTGCAAGAATCCATCTCTGTAAACTAGCCCAAAATACTAATTAGCCACCCTCACGGCTCAAATGTCGATACATACATCATTTCACATCTCACAATTCATAATCATCGTAGCCATCATCACATATTATCCTCACACGAATAGAGTCAAGAATTTCATGACACTTTGCTCCCAAACTTGGAAGTCACTAATCGGCCAACCATACAATTACTAACATTTACAAGTTACCTCACACCGTCTACCCTGAGATGAAGCTTCTTACACCCTTCTACCTATCACTACAATAAGTTGGGTCTTGAATGACGAAATTTTTGTCTCGAAAGAGCTAATTTCGTCACTATAGATATTTGTGACGATATATTTTCTTTACCAGCTTCGTCATTGAATGTTTGTCACTAAAAACCATCATGACGAAAAATAATTTCGTCACCAATGAAATTAGTTCAGTGACGAAATTTTTTGTCACCAATAAAACAAGATTTTGTCGCAAAAAATTCTCATTTTCGTCACCAAATAATTATTCAATACCATATTTATAATTTTAGTTGACGAATAAATTTGTCACAAATGTTGATCATTGATGAGGAAATAATTTCGTCACAATAAAATATAAAAGTGACGAAATTTTTCGTCTCCAAAAGTCATACATGGGTGACGAAATATATTTCATTGCAAATATATTTATATACGTGACGAAAAATATTTCATCACCAAACAACAAAATCAATGAAAACTTCCATATATGCGTTACAATAAATTTTGTCACAAAAAATGTTTATTAATGATGAATAATCACTTTGTCATAATAACAAGTACAAATGACGAAACAAATTCGTCACTAAACCTGTTCCATATTTTATATTTCAATTTCAATTATTATTTCACAAATATCCCTGCTCATATCCCAATAGTCTTTTAATTGTACTAAGAAATCACTAGCTATTATACATCACTCTACAAAAAAAATCAATAAACAATTTATATTATAAATCAAAATATATCCATCAAACAACTTTAATAATATAAACCATTAAGTATAACAAAAAAACCACCAAAGCAAATCCCAAAATGAACTAACGTGGAATCCACACAAAAAAAATCAACACTCAATCTTAGTTTGCAACTACAACTAAGCATCAGTTTAGGAAAAAAAATTCAACAGTTGATCTTCATTTGCACGTATACTTCCAAATGTCATCAAAAACCAATCTGCAAAGGAAATAAACAAAGAAAACATTAATATATTATCAATTACATCTAAACTCATATATAAATAATTTTATTTTATAAACCAATTTAGTAGAAATGCATCTGACAAATCAGAACTTCAAAGAGTTGAGGTGATCCTTGATGATAAAGCAACACAGATAACATAAGATGCCAAAAGATTGCAAGAATACCATATATCACTATCACTAATGGCAAAATATATGGCATGATATGGCACCTACATCGCATATTTCTTTATATACTAGTTGGACCCCCACGCGCTAACAAGGCAATGATACAATATTTTCTTCAAAAAAATAACATCAAAAACATAATATTTCTTATTTTATATCCTATTAATCATAATTACATCTTACATTTCATAAAATTATAAACCGGCAAACAAAATGGCCCCTTGTTATCTTAAATTGAAACTACGTGGACTAGCTAGTTGGAGGAATTGCTTTTTGTCGTCTCTCTTTTCCTTCTCTCTAGCACCAACGCTGCCACTCCTTCCAAAGTTGGAGCTGAAAACAAATTCACCTAAGAGTTTTTCCTACGAAATTAATTAAAAAATAATGGTAGCAATTTGCTGGGTACATAACATAAATATTGCATTCATTGCTTTTATGAGCATGCGCTTGAGGACATACAAATAAAATAAGAACCATTCAAATTATCACTGAAAATGAAGAGTCAAAAGTAAACATGGATAATGCCATTACCTCAAGTCAAATAGAGTAATCATGATAAATTGCTCCTTCCATGGGGATGATTACTCTTTAGAAGCAGAGAATAGCAACATCCTGAGAAGTATATTCACAATCAAGCAATCAAAATATATCATCCATTCATGTAGTTCAAATATCATAGTAGATGAATGAATAGAAGGCAATAAAGACTTACCATTACATATAATATTTCTTTACTCATGAACAAGAGACAACATAACCATATTCTATAGTCCAGTAAGTCCACTATTTGTTTAGTCTTAGCTGCAAAACAAAACACTGAACAATAAAACAAAAGCCTCTTCGGTGGGTATGATTTAAATAAATGGTTCAAATCACAAATATCAAGGGAGAACACGTTAGGAGTAATCCCTCGTGATGCCAGTTGTGATGTGACAGACAGATCCTGTTGACCAACCTAATAATCCCATCAATTACTCAATCCCATCAATTACTCTATCCCTCTTCGTTAAGTTCCCAGATTGATAGGTGCTACACCTGTTTCCAAAACACCCATCCAATACATTTAAGTTGCAAACCCATAACACTTAAAACGAACATTAACATGTGATACATGCATACAGCAACCACAATAGAATAGAAACCTGAAATTTGGCCAGGTTGGATTAGTTAGCCATTGATAGAACATGTTTTTTTACTTAATGCCATCCAAGTACATGATTGGTTTGGCCAGGTTGGATTAGTTAGCCACTGCCACATTTGCTTACAGTTTTTTTTGTACATGAAGAAATGGTATAGTTAAGCAAATAATGGTAACTATGTGTTTTCATGAATGTATTAACATAGTTAGGCTTCTGTTGTGACTCTCCTGACCATCTACTCTCTTAATCTATTGATCATTTTCAATCTCACACGAAAATACACCGTCATTAGAATGAATATGTTGAACAGTGTGGACATAATTTGAAAATGAATAGCTCTGATGAAAAAACTCATATAAGTAACAAATCTCAAATATCTTTGATCACGAGACATATAATTATCACTCTAAATAAGAACCATAATTCCAACAGTATAACATTAAGAACTTACCCAAAAATAGCTGGAGCAGAAGAGTTATTGACTAAAGAAGCCCCCATATTTGTGTAAAAATTTTACATACAACAAATCAGTTCAATAATAACCAGATGTCCCGTTTCCATCTCCATACTGAAATGAATCATCACACTGATTACTCTGTGAAGAGCATTCTGCAGCTGCAGCTTGAACTACAGAAGCACATATTGGGTTAGAGCAAGAAACCAGAGATACAGTTGACGAACTGGCAGTGTCAAAGAAATCGAGCTCAATCTGTACAATATGTACTTCAACATAGGCCTTATATGCTAGATACACATTTCTATTGCCTTACAATTACCAGACCTCAAACTCAAAGGGCATGAAACCTGGAGGAAAGGTTTTTTTAACCTAAAGTATACCAACACAAGAATATGGCTTGAACTCAGCTAGTGGCCAGCAACCACAACCATATCACACAAGGCATCAAGCATACCATCTCACATCAATCATTCTTTTTAATAATAAATTACAAATGGTTTCTAATCAGGTCCATCAAACCCTCATGATATGTTTGATTATTCACTATTCACACTTTCAAATCTCCATTTCAATAGGATAGTTATTATTGTTGGAGAGAAGAAACTTAAGAATGTGGGCATCAACGTGTAGACAGATACATTAAACATTAAAAATTACGTCATTTCTTATGTTCCAGAGAGTTCAAATGACAACAGAGGAATAAATCCCACAGAATTTTCGTTATGTACCTAGTGCATGGAATAAAAAGAATCAATATATACCTAAAATATTTGTATTTACAACGGAATACACCGTCATGGGTTTTTTGCCCTTTTTTCCTTCTTGTTGGTGAAATACAATCCAACACAAAAGTAAGGAAAAATTACCATCCAAAACATTGAATTGATAGGACCTATGCTGCAAAAATATCATTTTCATAGGATTTGTAAAAAAAGTAATAATTAAAAGGAAAAACACACAATTGAATGGCAGTGAGAGCAAAGAAAGAGTAAGTTATGAGTTGAATCTCAAATAACCATCAATACCAAATCCCGGTGTTACTGTTAATTGTACCTGGGTTTGACACACTATGTTATCAACTCAGAAAGTCCTTAATTTTACCAAATATTACCAAAAATGTTCTTAGGTCATAATAAATGAGGTTAAGAGTTCATAGAAACATTAAATCAATCATTGAGTGCAAACAACCCATATCAAAATCAAGCTAAACATTGATATAAAACTAAAAACAACCCAAATCAAAGATCTAACAAAACATAACACACCAATTCCCAATTCAAATGAATTGATTGAGCTCGGATACCAAAACAGAGAGGGAGAAACACAGAATAAAAGAGAGATTAGAGTCAATGAACACTCACCTGAACCCACTTGTTTGACTCTTATGGACATATTGTCAAACAGATGGTGTACAAAATTTGTGAATGCAATAACAAACACCAAGACAATACACAAACATAAAAATCCAATATCAAAATCTCTACATAAAAAAGAAAAAAGAAAAAAATTGCAAACCAGAAAATTACATACTCTGGTTTGAGAGCTAATATCACATAAAATATATATGGTTTTATATAATCGGTCACCAACTCACCACCACAGAAAGCTCTGTTGCCAGATTACATGGAAGTTATCAATTGGATAATAATTTGACACACTGTGCAAATTTCTTTTCCAGCACATAGGATTGTGGATAATCAGAAGCCCTGCATCTCAAGAGAAAATAGTAAAGTCAAATAAAGAAAAGCGAACTAAGATCTAAGAAAAAAATTCACACATTGCTTGCCTTCGAGCAAATTATCTAGACAATTTAAGAAGTGTGGTTCAATCTAATTTTATCTAATCCAATTGTCACATTAGAAGCCGATGAATACAGGAGAAGAAACTAATTAGTCTCAAGAGAAAATAGTAAAGTCAAATAAAGAAAAGTGAATTAAGATCTAAGAAAAAAATTCACACATTGCTTGCCTTCGAGCAAATTATCTAGACAATTTAAGAAGTGTGGTTCAATCTAATTTTATCTAATCCAATTGTCACATTAGAAGCCGATGAATGCAGGAGAAGAAACTAATTAGGGTACTGGGAACCCTCTAATAGTTTGGCAAAATGTTCCAAATTAACAAATAAAAATCCAAAGTTTCCTAATTTGGAGCAAAATTGTTTCAATCTCATATATATAAAGAAATATGCATACAAATTGCTTTGGTAAAAACATATAGGGACCCAAATTCACACCAGTGCAAACAAATGTGAGGGCAACCAAGGGTGAGATCAGCTGAACAAGCAAACAAAGAGCACCGCTTTCTTCTCAGCACCCAAGAAACTTATGAGAGGGATAGATGGTGGGCTTTGGTTGGTTGGGCGATCAGCAAGATCAGGATGGAAGGAACACATACACACTCTGAAGACAACTCATTGTTTCTATTATTTCTACTGTTGTGTGTGTGGCTAAGCTCAAGGCCACGTAGCTGGCCCAAATTTTCTTTGCAAACAAAGAACCAACAGACTTGCACAAGAAGCACCGGTGTGACACCATTCGTTACACCACACTTACATTCTTTTTATATATGTTATAGATTACACACTGCTTAGCATTAGTTTCAATGCTTTCTTTTATATATTATATAGTGAACAAAGAATACCTTAATGTTTTCCTTGTGATGTGGACATACAGAATAGACGGGTGCTTCATGACCCTCAAAAGTATACTGCTAAGCGATCAGGCCTTTTGCCACAATATCTTGATCGCAAGTATGCAGCTGTCCCACCAGCAACCACGACACCAGTAGCAAGTAGTATTGTTTTCCTGTAGAAGAAAAGAAAAACTATGGGCCCACCACTGACAGAATGAAAATAGAAGGATCATATTAGAAAAAGAGCCACTCAAAAAGATGGTTCCAAAGCAATGAATTTACAGTTGATGCTAAGGACCATCCTAAATTTAAACAAGTCTTGAATTGCCTCATATTAGGTTAAATCTCGACAGACTAAAATTTTTAAATGTTTTTAATTATTTCAGTAAATTTTGTCAAATCCTACCAGACTCCACAAATTCTCATTCAAACAAAAACTATTATTTATTTTCTTAGTAACAAATAAAGCTATCACTAAATAGCACCAGAAGAGGTGCAATCCAAATAGGCATGGGCATACAAAAGAGACTGCCTTGAAGGTCACATATTTAGCCTGTAATGCAAGTAGTTGAAACAAAACTTCGTTACACCACACCACAAGAAGCACCGGTGTGACACCATTCGTTACACCACACTTACATTCTTTTTATATATGTTATAGATTACACACTGCTTAGCATTAGTTTCAATGCTTTCTTTTATATATTATATAGTGAACAAAGAATACCTTAATGTTTTCCTTGTGATGTGGACATACAGAATAGACGAGTGCTTCATGACCCTCAAAAGTATACTGCTAAGCGATCAGGCCTTTTGCCACAATATCTTGATCGCAAGTGTGCAGCTGTCCCACCAGCAACCACGACACCAGTAGCAAGTAGTATTGTTTTCCTGTAGAAGAAAAGAAAAACTATGGGCCCACCACTGACAGAATGAAAATAGAAGGATCATACTAGAAAAGGAGTCACTCAAAAAGATGGTTCCAAAGCAATGAATTTACAGTTGATGCTAAGGACCATCCTAAATTTAAACAAGTCTTGAGTTGCCTCATATTAGGTTAAATCTCGACAGACTAAAATTTTTAAATGTTTTTAATTATTTCAGTAAATTTTGTCAAATCCTACCAGACTCCACAAATTCTCATTCAAACAAAAACTATTATTTATTTTCTTAGTAACAAATAAAGCTATCACTAAATAGCACCAGAAGAGGTGCAATCCAAATAGGCATGGGCATACAAAAGAGACTGCCTTGAAGGTCACATATTTAGCTTGTAATGCAAGTAGTTGAAACAAAACCCTTCATTGGAAGCCATGAATACAAAAGAGCATACCATGCTTAATCTTGTGGACCAGGATCTCATCCTCCTCAATGTAGGTCTACACAATTATCTCTATACAGTCCACCAAACACTTGACATTCGAATTATGGCCCCGTTTGGCACCTTGGTTTTTTGACTAATAAAGGCAAAAAGCTACTAAAAAGACCAAAAACTCAAAATTACTAAAAAAATCAAATCAAACACACTAGTCATTCAAGTTTTTTAATACAACTAAAAAAAGTCATTCCCAAATACATTAACTTTTTTGTTATACTCAACAAGTCAAAAATTCACTAAAAATGCCAAACCCCAAACGAGGACTATAACTTATTTGTCTTGTTGTTCTTCTAATTCAATAAACGAGTCCAATACAAATATGAAATTCACCAAAGTTTTGCACATATAGGTTGTGTACAGTTTCACCATCATAGTTTAATAACAGATGCGTGATAATATATTCTAAGAAGTTACGTAATCCTTTACAAATTGTGTACACAATGAATCAATTTTACAATGTAATGAAGGAGAATTAAAATGCAAGTCTTGGATTTGTGATGGAAATTTTTTCAAACATAACAACTCAAACCTGGTGAACTAAAATGGCCCTTCAACTCTAAAATACCCAACAATATGGCAATGTTTCACACAAGTATTTTATCAAACACAAGGGCTTCTACACCGTCTCCCTCTCCCAACCCTCTTTTGGCTCCCCAACTTCTTCATTCCCCTTAGGAACCCCTATCCCAGCTGGTTACACTTCCCCTTCCGCCTCTTGAAACAGCCCCTCCAACCCTCTACTACCATAGATCCATTGCCTCCTTCCCTATTATCCACAACCACAAAACTACTCTTTTTCTCCACTCTAGTTGGACCCCCACGCGTGGGGGTCGTATTATCGTTGACATAAATAATATAACAAGGCAATGATACAATATTTTCTTCAAAAAAATAACATCAAAAACACAATATTTCTTATTTTATATCCTATTAATCATAATTACATCTTACATTTCATAAAATTATAAAC